ATATTATCATGAGAAATTTTCGTTCTGCTGATTTGCATACAATGCCAACGAACAAAAAGGGAATCACTTCTCAAGGGGGGAGGGGGGAGGTGGAAAATCACATTGCTTAGCAACGGAAATTGTTTTCTCTAAAAATAAGCACACACACTCGAAGCGAACAACCGTTTGCCATATGCATTTGCCAATGCTAATGATATTGAACGCACTGCGTATACGTAATATGCGCCTGGGAACGGGCCGTATGCGTAATGCGACTGTCATTGGCACCTAGCCTCCTCCTCCACCTCCTGCGGCTGCTCTTCTTCCGCCTCCTTGGCTTAAGAAATACGAGTATAGGAAAACTTTGACACACCCCTACCCCTGCTCCACTTGGAATAAATTTCATAAATTTTCCCGGCAGAGAAATTGAATGTGGAAGTGGAGCGGGACGAGGACGACTTCCAGGATAAAGACGTGGGCAAATAAGCTCCTGTGCAATTGTGTGCCAAATTCAATAAATAACAAGACAAACTTGGTAGGAAATGGCTAAGAAGAATGGGAAATACTCTTTCTTAGGGAAAGTGCAAAGTTAAATGATTAAAAAATTAGTTTAAATACGCAAAATGTGAACTATTTTGCCGAAGAATCTTATAGAACGAACTTAAAACAACTTAACTGGAATATGAACACATTTTATAACTCTTATTAAGTATTCATTAATTCAATTTCAAGTTTAGATATCAATTCCTAGAAAACTTACAATGAAGTGTTATTTAATTTAAAGAGAAAATCAGGAAAAATGAGATGCAAATCAGTTTGCTAGCTCATCATAAATTCATAAAAACCACAACCAAGTAGATAGTTAATATACCCCACTTATTACCAGCTCATTGGCCGACATGATAGTAAATAAATTTGCTCACTCGAATACCAAGAGCACCGAACTTTTTGACAGAGTCTGAAAATATTAAAACAAAGCGCACGATTCCGCAAAACTCAACTGACAATGAAATGTTGGCCGAGGGTGCCGGAGCTACTTCATCAACTTCTTCTACCACCTCAACTTCAACTTGCACTTGTTTGGCCTTTGTTTCGATTGTGTTTCTTTTTTTTTTTTTTGTTCTCCTGTTTTCCTCCTCCTCCTCCTTCTGCTTGTTCTTGTGTTTTTTGAATTTTCATAAAACTTTTCCTCGTTTGCCGCTAATAAATTATTTTTGGGTAGAGGCGCAAAAAGTTTGGCCAGAGTCTCCTGGAATCCAGGAGTAGTCCTACTACTCTCTAAGCTGTCCGCAGAAGGGACACTCCTCTGTCTCCGTTTGGACACCTCCTCCTCTGGGGGAAAGAAGGGACTTCGATACCGCTTTCACAAACTGCATATTGTCCTCGACCAACCAGGGACATTACAATCCTCGTTTGCCGTTGTTTGTTATTCCTGTGTGTGCGCTTTGTTCATAAATAATTTGCTCCACAACTCAATTTCATGAGCGTAAATCACTGTGTGGTCACTTGGCACCGCCGTCCACGATTTGATCCGCCATTCCACTTCCTCTGCTTTCGTTTCTTTTCAAATAATTCCCCGTCCTGTGTTGGCTTTATTTTCACGTTGTGTTGTTTTCCTTGCCGGCCATTTACCATACAATTCCTTATTTATGTCCTGGCCAGCAAAGTTTTCCCTCGTCATTGATGGAAAGACAGCCTTCTGACTTTGTTGTCTTATGTGTGCTGGGCGGGGTGTTAAATCAACACAAAGTTGCCGCAAACTTTTCAATTGGCTTGACAAATATAAAGAAATTTACAATATCGCTTTCAAGGCGAACAGGGCGGTAAGAGAAAAAGAAAAGGGACAAAGGACTTGGGTCAAAGGCGAAGGCAGGGCAATCAAAACTCGAATGACCAAGGCATATGGCATCTTTTTTTGTACCATAATAGAAGTGATTTTTCTCACTCTAACTGACTTTATCTGACTGTTTCTTGTTGTTTGAATTGGTTTCTAAGGGGAAGTCTTCAAAATTCTTAATTTACATTGTCTTAAATGGGCACTTTATAAATTAATAATTAACTTTTAAAAAGATATTAAAATTAAACACATTTTTAGGCACATTTTAAGCCCTTTAATCTTTAAGATATGAACAAACTCAGCTCAGCTTTACAAATATTTCAAAAATACATTTAATAAATTATCTTTTAACTCCATTTACTAAAACATTCCTTTAAATTTTCTTAAAATTTCTGATTTAACCGCCTTTGACTAGAAAAATCCCGAAGAAGAAATTCAACAATCTTTTGCAACGCAAGACGGAAATCGTCTCTTGATCGTCCTTTGGGGAAAGTTTAGTTGGCTTTTCCGCCATTTCCAGTTCTTCACCTCTCAACTCCTACCCCTTAACCCCCCCCAATCCTTAACCCTTAGGGGGTGGCTAAGTGTATGCAACAACACTTTAATGCCCTGCTACGCATTCCGCACATGAAGTTGCAATAAAAACAACATTACACTAAATTCTCATATTTCTCTGGCTGCTTTCTCCGCTTTCTTGCTTTCTTTTTTCGCCCGCCCACCCCTTCTCAGCTTGTTTATTTCCAGCCCAAAAAAAAAGAACGAGGTGGTTGGTGAAGAGGTTGGGGACGAAGCTGGCGCAAGGGCAAGCTGGCTGATTTTCCCCTTCAGAGCGGCAACAATAAATTGCAATTCCAAGTCACTTAAATTGCAACAAATAACAGGAGGCAGCTTGACAGCGAGAAAACGCAAACTGAGCAGCAGCCCCGTGAGATGTCAACGTGTTAAAGGCTGACAAAGGGCGAATCGACCACGCCGAGGGGCGTTCGGGGGCTAAGGGAGTTTGCTCTGCGAATTCGCAGGAGGCTCTCATCTTGTTTACCTTCAAATTGCTTTTATGGTGATTTCTTTGTGGAAATATTGGGGCTCTTAAAATAGATTGTACAAATTTATGTAGATATTGCTTAAGAAACGTTAGTTAGTAAAGGATTTTATCTTTTTTTTTAATTTAACTTAAGATTTTTAAAAGTTGAAGAAAGTTTGTCACGAAGGTATAGCCTTTCGATTCCAATTTTAGCATGTAATATGTTAAGACATTTATGCCTTTCGCTGTTGATGACTTCTTTGACTCGATTCCTAGCAAGTTAGCTTACATTTTTCGAAGGTTTGCAGGAAGGTGACACACAGGTTGACTTATGCCATTTCAGGCTCAAAGAGGAATGCATCTAAAGCATATTTAGACACTAATTATGTTAAAATATATTACGAGAGAATAGAGAGAGAATTTAGAGATACTTTGCAGGGAAGTAGAAGCTTTCCAAGAAGTGGTTAAAAGTTACCGAAAACTGCACTTTTTTAATCATAACTTTCTTATTTCATAGTCTGAATTTAAAGTTTATTTTAATAAGTTTGTTGATCGGTTTTTTAATAATCCACCTTTACTGCCCTTATTAATAGTAAATTTGTTGTCTGGTAGAAAGGTGACCCTAAATGTCAAATAGGTATTCAAGTTTAAAAGTTCATAAAAATTAAACAATCGTTGGCCTAAAATCTACATTCACACTTCTACCACTACTAATTTTTATACCCGTTACTCGTAGAGTAAAAGGGTATACTATATTCGTTGAAAAGTATGTAACAGGTAGAGGGAAGCGTTTCCGACCCTATAAAGTATATATATTCTTGATCAGGATGAATAGCTAAGACGAATGAGCCATGTCCGTCTGTCTGTCCGTCTGTCCGTCCATATGAACGCTGATATCTCAGGAACTATAAGAGATATAAAGTTGAGATTAACCATGAAGATTCTAGAGGTCCCTACGCAGCGCAAGTTTATTACAGCATCCTGCCACGCCCACAAATCGCGTAAAAGTAAAATCGCTGAAATCTGAGGAGCTAGAAAGAGCTAGAAAGTTGAAATTCAGTATGTATAATCTTTAGATGCTAGCGCATTATCCGAACCAATACGCCCACCAAGCTCAAAAGACGGTTTTCCTACTTTCTAGAAAAGCTGATACCTCGGTAACTATAAAAGATAGAAAGTTCGGATTAAGCATGTAGGTTTTTATGAAGCTCCCCATGCGAATTGTTTTTTCCCGATCAAGCCACGCCCACTCTAACGCCCACAAAACCTGAAAAACAAAAAATACAGAAGTCTTGGAAACCATAAGAGCTACAGGGTTGTGCCTGGTAATACGTATTTAAGAGATGCCACTGCAACTTGCCACGAGGTTTCATCTGTGGCGTCTATAATATTATTATGAATGCCTTCGTTTGACGTTGTATAACTTATTTCTGTTAATATCTATCGATTTACCAAAGATTTTTCAAATCGGAACATTATTTCGCTATTTATGAAGAAGTTTAGGTTATAAGGCCTCACAAGGTTTGTGACGTCACTATCAGTTACTCGACATGCTGTCTCCGACAATAGGTGGCGCCTTGTGAATTTCCACTAGCAAAATGAATATTTTAAAATTGTGTAAAACAGTAACGGGGATCAGCATTCGACTATAGCATTTCCTCTTGTTTAACTTATAGAAAGGAGAACCAAACTTTCATATTAAATACCTCAGTTTGTGGTTAAACCATATAAAAATCTACATAAAAAACACATTTTACTATATCTTTTAATACCAATCTATTTTTAAAGTTTATTCCTTCTTCTTTTCTCTTTTCTTTCAGTCAACATTCATTTTGGTTTGTTGCCATTCCATTTGGTTTATGTTATGTAATTGCTGTTGCCACTCACCAAGAGGCAATAGCGAAATTCAACAGTCAACGGAAAGTGTCAGGGCTGATGCATGGACCAGATTTGTTGGACACCGCCTTAGAGAGCTTGGCTCTTATTGCATTTTGGCCAAAACACGAACTGAATGTCTGATTTATTTATATTAAGAATTATGCTGGCCAGCTAGTCAGCTAGTCAGCTAGCCAGCTGCTGGCTAGAAGCCGTTCCCCCGCCCAACGAATGCAATATTTAAATAGACATAACTATAAAATTTTATTTAAATGTGCATTTGCTTTT